AGTGCCTGGCCTGCCCTTGACCCCGCCGGTCACGGAACAGGTTTGCATTTCTGTGCAATGAAATGAAGGGGTAAGACAGCCCCGAGAGCCTGCAAAGCCTCCTGCTCGGCAGGGAAAGCCTGTACTGGAAACCCAGAGGGATGATCGGTGCTGCCTGCTGTTCTCGGCTGGCCAAGTAGCATATTTTACCCTTCTTTGGTGTCATTTGGGGGCCTCAAAGCATTCGACAAACGTTAATTATAACTGAGCTTTGAGCATCCCTGAGAGCTGAGGGTCATTTTTAATCTACAGATAAACAAAGGCACAGAGAAGCTGAGGTTACGCCTCAAATCCACCACGATGCCAGCAGCAGAGCCCGGCTCTACCTCCTCGAACAACACCCGCCCTCCTGGGACGGCGGGACACACAGCGCATCTCTCCTAGAGGTGACAAACACCTGCACCCAGGGGAAGGGTGTAGTCAGAAGAACCCAATCACACTTAAAATCCAAGTACAGCTTTGCTAAGATGAGATTCAAAGCAAGAGCATGTGAGATGGAAGCAGCACGTTTGGGAAAAGAAGAACCTGAACGGAACAGGGCTTTGTCAACCCTGGGGCAACACATAAAGGAAAATGGACTGAAATGCGATGCATTTGATCTTGAGACTTAATGAACTGAACGGATTGAGCCGGGCTGGGCCCGCCGCTGGCCTTGCCCAGGCGTTTGGGGGGAGGAGGACGTGCAGTGTGTCACTAGCAGGGCTAGCCCCCGCAGCAAGGCGTTCCACGCGCTAGCCGCATCCTTCAGAGGCTCCTTCTCAGGGCAGGTCAGACGTGAAGCAGAGCAGGGGGCTGGTTTCCAGCCACGGGTGCTGCACGGGAACCGCACCGCCCCCGAGCACGGCAGAGCTGCGCTGCCAGCCGGCCAGACCGAGCCGCAACCGGAGGAAACGGGGGAAACCGAAGGTACCTGTGCAATGAGGACGACCGTCGGCTCTCGAGAGCGTCAGTTCCTACCTACCTGCATCCCCCCCTCTCCCCGCAACCGGAGGAGACACGGTAGAGTGGGGGCCGTTGTGCAGCCGCCCGCTTGAAACGAGCAAAAAGGGGACAGAGCAACGTGCCGTGGATGGTGCAAAAGGCCAGGCCAGGCTGCACCTCCGGATTGTGCAGCAATCCCTTCCTGGGCACGCCGACCCTCACATGCTGTGCGGAGGTGGCATCCCCCTGCTTACGGGGGGTCACAGCCACAGCCTCCGAGTCCCAGAGCTCGGAAGTAAAAGGAGTAACCTTGAGGCTCTGCTAACGCTGGGAGCAAGCGTTAGCCTGAGCTTCCCTCCACCTTGCAGTCTGCCGGTTACAGAAATTAGGTTGTTCCTATGGCAACTGGCATATCAAACGGGCCTCTGCAGCTTTGACTCAGCTCCCTGGTAGAGAAGCAGAGGCCAGGCAGCAGCTCTGCAGACTAATGCTTCACCGGGAAACGCCGGGGGCCGGCAGGTCCTTCCCCCGCAGCCCCATTAGCTGCACTGCAACGCTTGGCAGGGAAGCCTGCACACCCAAGCAAATCCTGCAGCAGAGTAAACGGGGATTGCTCGGGCACAGCACCTATTTGCAGTGCCCAAATGGCACCCTTCGCTCCGGCCCCCGGAGAGCAGTGCCAGGGAGGAGCAGGCTGGGGACGCAGACAGCCAGACTTTCACGTGGAACGGAAACGCTTCGGGACTTGCTGCCAGACACATCTCCCTGGAGCTTCCAGAGTGAGAAGCTGTGACACGCAAAGTGAAGGTTAAACAGAGAACAAACCTTGCTTTTCAAAAAGCACTACAAAACTGACGGGGTTTCCCAACAAATCCCAAATCCAGCACAGGCCTTTGGCAGCCCGCGGAGCTGTCTGACGGTCACACCTACACTTTCCGCTCCGGCGCTGGCACTGTCAGACAACAACAGGCAACAGGAGTCGCCTGTGAGACAACGCTCTCACCTCTCGGGCTCGCTGCCTTACGTTTGCGAACAACCTCCCACGCAGCTTTGGTGGTGGTGCCGAGCCCTAAGCCAAATGGCTTTGCCTTGCACAACACGGAGCAGGTGAGGAAAGAGACGGGAAGCGCGATCCAACGCCTCAGGTGTAACCCCTGTCCCCAGCACCGGGCGGGCAGCAGGGAGCGTACCTGCAGGCGGGGAGCAGCTTTCCACTTACCACATCTTCAGCGGAGCTCTGGTCCTCTCGGAGGTGATCTTCAGCCAGCAGGGAGAGCACGAGCCCCTTAATACAGTGAACATACAAGCTCATTTTAACCAGTCTGCACTCCTCGTCGGACTCCACACCAGCCTGGGCTCCCAGCCCGTCCACCACAGGCTCTCCCCGCGCCTGGGACGGTGTGTGTTCTCTGCTGGGTCACTGGGCAGGCTCTCCTGAGCCTCTACAGCTGGCGGCTGACTCCTGCTTTGGAGCCCTGACTGTAGAGGGGCTGGACAATCCAAACCCCGCACGTTGCCACCAGCTGCACTGCTGCTTTCTCCAGAGATGCTATCTTGGCTCATAGTCCCTTGCTCGTCTTCTCCACTTGATTTCCTTCTGCCCAACTCTTGGGCAGGAGAGCAAATAGCTGGACTGCCACTGGTTGTGGGGTAACCCTGGAAACTGCATTGTTCAGCACCAGAGTCCACAAGGGATTTCCCCACGCTCTGACTCTCCTGCTCCTGGGCGTAAGGGTTTGGGAAGTAAAAGCCTTCCAGATACGGAGCTGTAGTTTGAGCACACTCAGCAGTGTGGAGCTTGGAAGGGCTTGGCAGCTGCTTCGTGTCCCCCTCTAATGGGAAGAATGCTTTTCTACTGAGCTCGGAACTTCTGCTTACTGGGCTGCTCGGTTTTGTAGTTGGAGAATTCTTTGCACTGGCTTCCATTTTGGGGAAGCCCTTCGAAGGACCCGTGTTTGCAAGGCTGCCTGATTGCACAGCGTCTTCTGGTGCAGCTGTGCTTGACGCTTGCTCAGGGGACTCCTGCACAGAGATATTATTCAGGTCTTGGTTTTCATAATCTCCTGTTGATTCTGAAACTGCCTGGGAGCGGAGAGCATTCTTCTCTCCTTTAGGGCTTGCTGGGGACATGGATGACCTAGCGGGAGATGACAAGTTGATTAAACTACTGAGTAGGATGTGTTTGGAGTTATTACATACCTAATAACACTATCGCCTCCTGGTAGCGTTCAACAGCTGACCTATGCTACGCAGAGCATCTACCTCGGAAAAGGATGGGCTGAGGTCTAACGCAGGTGAAGAGCACGGGCCTCTTCCACTGCAGACTCCTGGGAATGTCACTCCCTTACGTAAAAAGGACAAGGGCAGCGCTGCGAGCTGAGAAACAACAGAGCATCGCAGTTGGTCTTGGGGAACAGTTCAGCTTTAGGCTGCTTCACAACAGAGACAGGGACACCAGGAATCCTGTCCAGCCTGAAAGACCCCAGGCAGCTTTAACAGCCGGATGGGAGAGCTGGAGTTAGCATCGGAGAAAACCCTAACAAGGGCTAGCGAGGGCAGAGCCACACGTCAGCTCCCGTGCTGTAACAGCCTCTCTACGCGTCAGGTTGATTTCCTACCCAGTCATCCACTCCACGGGAAAGTCTCGGAGCACTGAGACCTCATCTTCTGTTAGGAATACCGGGATGATACAGACACCCTGCGGCAACGGAGAATCTGCAAGAGCAACGGAGGTTTGAGGATTAAATTAACAAGCCCCAGCATAAAGAACAGAAGCCAGACTCCATCAGCCCAAGGGCATCAGCAGGAGGAGAAGGCATGCTATCGTCTCATACCCTGACTCACCACAAACTGACCACGTCTGACTAGGCAGCATTTTCCCATCCTCCTCATACACTTAATGCCTGACACAGTTAAATCTTCCCTTAGTGTATTTTTCTTTTTTTTTTAGTATCTATAAACTGATGCTCAAAAACGATGACTGAAGGTTTGGACTGAAAGCATCAGCCATCTGTTTTCAGGGCTCCGTCAGTGGCCAAGTAGGCACACAGATAACTGGAATTAAAGCAGGCGTGTTGGGAATCTGCAGAACTGACAATTAAACCCAAAAGAGCAAACTCCTTTGCTTAGCCAAAGGAAGGAACTAGTTCTGATTACACAACACCCACTGGCACATGCTGACTAGTGGCAGCAACACCCTCAGGGATATACTCCTGCATCCAGCAGGAGCTTTGACATGGATCCCAGAGAACCAGCTCATGCTCTCACTGCAGAGAACGCAGCCCCCGGAGGGTTGCCCATATGCTGCTGCTGTGCACTTGGCAACCAGTACTCTGCAGCTGGATGCTCACCAGGCTCCCGCTGCTCCTCACCTCCAGGCTCACTCTGAAAGAAAAGCCAAGAATCAGCTCTGTGGCATGACTCAACACTTGCCATCAGTGCCACCAGGACATCTCTTCCAGCCTCCTCAGCCTCCCTGCGACTACAGCAGACCCCAGACCATCCCCTTCAGCAGACGCTGCAACTGGTTTACCATGCCGGGCAGTGATTTGTTCCTTAGGTAGCCCTTGGAGTCAAGGGGGCTTCCCAAGAACCAAAGTACTCCCAAAAGCAAGGACAAATACCACGATTTGCCACTACTGCCTGCTCAGGGCACAAAAACTTGGTTCGCTCAACCAGAGTCATCCTTCGTAGCTGGATCCTGATGGCTTTTTTGTAGATCTTGAACCACAAAAATAATTACTTTTGACAAATTTTAATGCAAACGAAAATGGATCTATTTGTCGCTTTCAGGCATTCACTGCGTGTATATTTAACAGCAAATACCTGAACTTGGGTAAAAAGCCAATCAAAACATCACATACATGAGAACTCACGGATTCAGTAACCTAAAGACCAAAAGCAAAAAGCAAATTCCTAGCGCAGAAGTCTTGAAACCTTACTCAATCGTAACTAACAAAAGCTTTTAGCATCTGCATCAATATTTGTCCTTCCCAGTAATGGCACACTTCAGATTTCTGTGACAAGAGCTCCCCACACCGCATCCTCAGAAGCGGGTATCTGCATGCGGGCAGCGTGTTTAGCAACATACCTGGCCCGGAGACTCATTGCCTTGGAGGAGAACTTTGGCAGTGAGAGGAGGTGGCAGCTGGGTGCTCACAATCCTAAAAGGACAAAACAAAGTCATCCGTGACCGGAGCTCCATTTCCCGGGGCTCAGCCGTGGATGCCCAGCACTCAGGACAGGCAGAGCCAGCAGCAGTGCTCACGTGAGACTTCCCCTCGTGCTCTGAGCAGAGCCGACAGTGCCGAGGGCCCCATTTCACAGCTGGGCGATCTTGGGGGGAGCCTCTAAGGTTCTACTGCACCCACCTCTCCCGCTCCTGCCAGACACTCTGCAAGGGTTGAAGGGTCAGCCCCAGACATGGGCAGGAGCTGACACATTGCCAGACAAGGGGAACACAAGCTGGGTGACCATCAGGGCTCTCGTTTTCTATTTTCTTTGGGTCAGTTCCACTCCAAACTCAGGAAAACCGCCTGCTGGCATTTACTTTGGACCAACAAATCTGGTTTTGCTGAGTCAAGACCTAAGACAGACCGATCCATGCAGGCTTCCTGCCACCCCATGGAGAGCTGGGGGCAGCAGAGAAGATTTGGAAAGACTAGCACTCAAATTACTGCAGCACAGGCCCCTTGGACAGGGCTTCCAAAGGTCTTTCTGGTTAAGCCTTGTTGGGATCCCCAGTCTGGAGATTCTCCAAAAGACTCTAAAGCAGGAGAAGTTTAACTCAATTACAACGCCCTTTGCAGTGTTGTAGTAAGACTCAGAATTCAGAGAATTCTGATAAGGGGGGGGGTTAAAAAAAAAAAAAAAAAAAAATCTCTACCAGAGCAGCGATACAACGAGACGCACACGCACTGGTGATGGGCAGACGCAGGACAAGGCTCCATTCTCAAGCCAGACGTCCACTTCCACTGCAACACGTGCCAGCTTTAAGGTGCTGCAGCGACTCGTGCTCAGTGTCCTGCTTGCACATACGAGATCTTTCCCTTAAAAATGCCTGGCCTGCTTCTGCCAGACCTGGGAAGATGCACACATTGTGGTGTATTTCCAGGGCTCGTAAAAGGAACAGTCTATGCCAAAGGGAAAAGGTGCTTGGAAGCTATGGCCAAGAAACTCTCAGAATCCCCCACCTCCTGTCTTTCAAGGGTGCCTTTGAGGCTTTCCTTGATGTCGTTCAGTGCCACACCTGCAGCACCTTCAGCTATGACCGTCTGGAAGAAACCAGCATTTTTTGTGGGAAATTCTGGCTCATTGTTCTGCGCACTTTCTACCAGTACAGACAGCGGTCCTGGCCAACGAGTCAGTCAAAAATACATAAATACAGACACGCACACATGCGCTGTGTTTGCAAGACTGCAAAGAGTACACGAAGGGGAAAGAATCACATTCATACATCGTTCTT